CAAGTCCAGTCTCCGATCAAGACCCTTCAGACGCCTCCGACGATCCCAATCAAGAACGCCCAGCGGACGGGATCCCCCTTCTGAAACCATTAACGTGCACGCAGCGAGAGTACCAGCTACGCGCAATGGGACGGCTAAAGCACGCGCGTCAGCGCATTAATCAGAAGCAGAACGAGGTAAGCGGTGGAACATTCCGCGCCGCGTGACATCGTCTCTTGTTCATTTATTTACGTGAATTTGTTTGTTCTTTTATATCTTTGAGGCTGGCACATCCAGGGACGTCTTTTGGAGGCGCTCCGTATTGCATCTCGTGTCTGAACATGCTCAAATAAACAGTTCGTACCAAACCTGTGTTTTAGTCACTTCCTTCGTACTTGCATGATAGCAACTTGTCTTCGCAATAGTACTAAGAAATACTTTTTTGTGTGTGTGTGTGGGGGGGGGGGGGGGGGGATACGACGGCTAGGAAACGCAATTTGGAAAGGTTTCTCGACGTTCTGTGAACGTCGTTAGTAGTCCGGATGTCGTAAACACACGTATCATAAACGTCGAGGGAGGACGCAACGGCCCACTGAGACGCGCATGTGACGTGCAACAAACATCATTTGGAACGTCCCCTCGACCTTCTGTGCACCTTTTCTCGCGGACATTTAAAGGTTTCATCGACGTCGAAGGAAGGTAACGTCCGGACCTTCGACGTTGTAGGACGTCACGTTACAGACGTCTTCGACGTTCTTTCGACGTTTTCTTCACGTTTATGTGCTGCTTGGGGAGCGGCCTTTGAAAGCAAATATCAGGAGATAATTTTCTACCAAAGTAGTTATCTGATTACACTGATTCTCTCGTAGGTGCTTTTTTGTTTGCTCTTTGCCTTTATTGTTATTTTTTTTGCTTTATATAATTTTTTGTGTATGCTTTTGCAACCGCTGTGTACCTGTGAGGTGGCTGAGGACCAGTCAAGCTGCTTAGACAGCTTTTTTCCTCAACCCCCCCCCCCATATTTATATGGTAAATAAAGCTATTATTATTATGAAATGGCGACGGAGCACCCCCTCGTTGCACGTGTATTACATGTTTCCACAACAATAGGTGGCGGTACCTGAAAAAAAAGCCTTTATCACGGTTCTTTACGGACTTTAGGTTAGCACGCCTCGTGGGCAAACATGCTGAATGATTAGGCACGAACTCTTCCTCGTGGTTTTTCGGGGCACTTATACGCACGAGCTCGCTATCTGGGCCAATGAAAGCTTGTATGGTAGGTCTCAGCGCTGACATTTCTGCACTGTAACGTATAGGAGAAGGGTTGCCGCACGTGGAGCGAAAATCTCGCTCTGCAGCTCAAACCCCACACCTGCCCGTTTCGATCTGGATGAACATCGCACGGGCGTGGCGTCGTGTATCACTACTGCGTGAAGGTTAAAGACACCAGGCTAGCGTTATACTCTATTTTACTTTATGGTGTACCGCAGGGAAAGGCTACAAGCGCGAGCTCCTTGCTCTGGGGCACACCTCGGCGGCACAAGCTCTCGTGCATTAAAGACAGCTGCCAACGCTATGAGCTCGCGCTTCCAGCCTTCGCTGCGGTACAACATAAGGTGAAACGGAGCTACACCGGCAAAAGGTCTAAACTACAGTTGAGACACCAGATAAACATCGAGGTTGACTAACAAAAAAATATTATTACTGTACCACATATCTGACGAGTTGACCGCAGCACCGACAAGAACACTGGCATGAGCGCATGGTATTCAAAGGCGCTTTAAATGGGCGAGTGTCATAAACAGAAAGTGTTTTTCATAGCACCTCTTCGCACCCATCTTTTCCAGCGCCGAGACCAACGTGGCAGAGTATGGAATAAAATAAAATGTCAGTATCTGTAACTGTACCTTCATCGCGTTTCATCATAAGACAGTGTTTGGCTCGTCAGGGGCGGTCGGCATATTAAGTGAAGCCAAAAAAATGAAGCACGACACTGATTGGCTTTTGAAGAGATCGCGCGATCAACGGTGATTGAATGATTTCGGTGGCTATGGGAGTTTCTGAAAAACTTCGAGGCTTTAAAACCCGACTATACTTCATTTACCCTTAAGCTGAGACTGGTCGTAGCTACGTGCCAGTCGGACCAATTATCCGCCTCCCTTTCGACAACTGACCCGACCCTGTGCGCGTGAGTATGAAAGGGAGAGTGATCACGTGGTTTGAAAAACAAAATAGACGTATGATTGGTCCAACGAGGACGTAGCTTCCGCCGCTGTCTCAGCTTAAAGGGACACTGACACCCCCCAAAAATGTTTTTCATTCTTTTGACAGGCTATTCATTATGGCCGTCGAAAGTCTACCCAATTAATGTTTTGCTACAGAGTCACGTATATATTTAATGAAGCCAAAAAAAAAAAAAAAACGCAACTGCTCGAAACCGAAACCACCGCACGGAGGTCGGAGAAATATAGAGGATGAGAGAGAGCCGGAAGTTACGTAACTACACCCAACCGTGCGCTTTTTTTTTTTCGCGCGCAGCAGACGAAATGTTTTACGGGAACTGTTCGCCGTGCGATTCCTTTGCAATTATGTTTGTTCCGCTTGCTGTCCTGTACAGGGTGTCACAAAAGAAAATTTACAGGGTTTTTATTTTTGCAAAAATAAACTACGCATCGCCTAACGCTCATTATCAGCCCAAAGGTAGCGCTAGAGGTCACAACCAGATGCCAAAGTTTCAGCCCGATCCGATAACTTAATCAAAAGTTATGTGATTTTCTGAAATTTTCAATGAGAAAATGGAGCCCAATTTCGCCCGTTTTCGGCCTCTGGTGCCCATAGAGCCCCATGTATTCGAAAACGCCGTCGGCCGCCATTTTCCCATTGAAATTTTTGGAAAATCACTTATAACTTTTGATTAAGCTATCGGATCGGGCTGAAACCTTGGCATCTGGTTGTTACCTCTAGCGCTACCTTTGGGCGGAGAATGAGCGTTCGGTTTATTTTTTTGCTGAAATAAAAACTCTGTAAATTTTTTTTTGTGACACCCTGTACTTAAAGATAAGTTGTTCTGTACATTTAGGTGTTGGAAACTAGTAGTGAGTGCCCTTGGTGAACTCCCGTGATCGCCTCCGAAAAGAATACCCCCAAGATGTTGCGTGACGTGCTGCATCACAGGTCCTGCATCTGAAAGTGGCATTGTGCGGCAGAGTGCACACGTTTCCGGAAGATCAATGGCATCGAGATGAATAGCTGGCTGCAATTCCTGTAGAATAGTTACGGGCACTTCGGAAAGCGGACGCTGCCCGATCCATATTGTCCTTGCATTTTCTGGAAAGTGACTACATTGAGATCGTAGGTGTCAAAAAGGGAATCCCATACCTTTTAGTTCAGCGACGTATCGTCCACAACAATTGCTTTTTTTTTCTGTGATAATTGTAAAAAAAGAAGCGTAAGCATCGCAAGATGTATGGCAAAAAAAAAAAAAAGAGGTACTCCCACACTAGGGATTGAACCCGCGCCCGCTGCGTGTGGAGGGGACGTCTTTCCACTGACCTACTGGGACAACTCCGTTGTTTGTAGTAATGCAGCCGGTAGACTGCAGGTCAGAAAGTTTGCTGCCGATATTCCTCTTGTACATGCACTCCCGGCTCGAAGTCGGGCAGCACTACGTATTGGCCCCATTCGCCCCTAGTAAAGAGATCGTACACGTCCATATTCAACTCGAAGTACGCACTTCGTGCTTGACGTTTGCGCGAGCGATGTCTTCAGCCACAAGAAGGGACGACGGCTCGGCGACATCTTCGTGCAGTCGGCTTGGTGGTCCGGCGTGTCGTTCGGGATGAATACCAATTTTTTAGATCGGTCCAAAATTTCTCGCGAACGACAGTTCTGAAGTAGAGGTCCCATGCCCGTCGTCCGCTGCCATCCGCGACTCCCACATACGGGAAACGACGCCATGTTGAGAATTACGCAGTGAACGCACAGAATGCTTCCCGTTGTCTGTTAAACTTTTTTTTTTAGTCAACGTATTTGCACCCTTTTGGAAGCCAAGAAAAATGGGTTTCTTATATTTTTTTTTCTATTTTATGTATGGATTGGTGCGCCTTCAATGACCCACGACTTTGATTAAATTTGGTGGTCGTGTCTAAACCTTAGAAAACGGCCCGTGACCACAAAAAAGAGTGTGAGCGCGATTCAATCCGGTCAGTTAATACTGCAGATTGGGCGAGTTGGTAAGGCATCATCACGAACCAGCGCAAATAGACAGTTATTCAAAATCCAAACACACAAAACAAATACACTCACACAGCGCTGAACAGAGCTGTGTGAGTGTATTTGTTTTGTGTGTTTGGATTTTGAATAACTGTCTATTTGCGCTGGTTCGTGATGGTCAATCCGGTCAGTTCTGGATCGGCAGTTTTCGGGCGGAAAGAAGCCGAATTTCGAGCCGCACATTTCGTTGTGGGTGGTTGGGCTCTCATATGTCATGTACAACTAAAGATCTCGGCGAGCATAAATACCCTGTCAGTGTCCCTTTAAGAGTGAACGGAGTTTAGCGCCAGTATATTTATTCCAGGAACTAGTATCAATTTTATATTCCGCTTGTTAATTTAGTTGATAAAGAGCACCCTGAGCTTCGGCGCCGGGCTCTGTAACGTTCCAAAGGAATGCCTGAACGTTTTACGTGTAAGACAATGTCCATTAATTTGCTAACAAGTTTTTTAGAAGCTTGAACCTTGGCTCAATACAGTAACTTTATCAAAACTATTTGTGAGAAATACGCCAATTCACAATAATTTTCTTTCAACATCAATGCAACCTGTCACTATAGCCGAGCACTGCCCGAAGTGAGTGTTTGTTGGGTTGAAACAAAACAAATATTATGGAAATATTTTTTCTGGATTAAAAAACAAAACGAATTAGGGATTGGAAGTCAAGGTGCACCTCGACGACACACGATTATTTAAAATTTAATTCGTGTTTACCTTAGCGACCTTTTGTGAGCAACTGTGTCTGGCTCGATGCATTTGTAAGAAAGTATTTGCATTGTAACGTGATTACATTCTTGTTCAAGTAACGGTATACATCTTAATTATTGTTTAAGTCAACAACTGCAGCTGCGCCTCGGAGTGACGCACGGTCTTGTCCGCTGGACACCTCGTGCAGGCAGGGCCAGGAGTGGTACAATTTGCGTTCCAAGACGCAGCCGTACACGCTTCGTCTCCGGACCATCATGTCGTACGTGCCGGGCCTTGACAAGATCGCCGAAGACACCCTGAAAGTCCTCGCCCATAACATTGACGCCAGGGGAGAGACGCCGGACTGCTACGCCCTGCTCTACAGGTGGGCCCAAGAGAGTGAGTACAGAGGCGCCTGACCATGCAACTGTCCCGCCAGCCGTGACGCGTCGCTATTGGATCGCGGGTCTGCGTCTCTACCTGTTCGGAATCCACGTGAAGTTGAACGCGTCAACTCGTTGTCTGTAAACCACCGCCTTTGTCCGCAGCTGTCGTGCCGGCTGCGCATGCGCAGAAATTCGTAGAGCAAAGCGCGAAGTATTTGCTCATGCCCCTTTCGTTCGATATCCCGCGCCACCGACTTTATTGCCCTCACACACCTGAGTGGGCTTCTTAAAGTACTTCATTAGTAACAACAATTATATTAATTTCGACCCAGAAAGGTTGAGCCCAAGAGAGTGACTGGTACGGGCCTCCGGCCAGAAAGGCCGGAGGCCCGTACCAGTTGGTCAAAAACACCGAAGTAGAAAAGAACATCACAATATTAAAAATATATATAAAGCTATTTACAAGTTTTCTGTAATGCTTCGGCTAAACATTCCGTTTTAGTTATCGTATAGTTTTGCTCTGGCTTGCTCGGAAAATGACTTTCATAAGCGTCAGAGGACCGGATAACGGGGGCGTCGTTTTCAAGGAGGTTGTTAAGCGGAGCGGCAGTGTTCGCAAAGCTACGGATGAAACGACGGAAGTACGATGTTATTCCCAGAAAACTTCGTAGTACACTGCTTTCTGCTCACATTCTGCTTTCTGCAAAGAGTCCAGTTCGTGGCATGGAATAAATATCTTTACGTGTGATTATGTTCAGTGCGCGGTAGTCACTGCAAAAACGAGTTCTTTTTGACTAGAACGACTGGAGACCAGAATGAGCTGCACGAGGAACGAATTATATTCTCTTTTAGCATATCACTGACATTTATTTATTTATTTAATTTTCCGTCAAGGCCAGAGGCATTACAAAGGGGGAGAGCAAAGAAAAATACAGAAAAGGAAAACAAGCCTAGACATAAGTTAAACACACTGGACAAATAAAAGATTAGTAATTGCAGTTTTGAAAAGGTCAGAGTCCGTGATGGTGCCAATATTCCCGGGAAGGTGGTTCCATTCTCGTGACGTACGAGGGACGAACGATGAATGAAATGTTGTTGTGTTAGAAATTGGAATACCAACCTTGTGATTGGGATCGTTGCGAGAAGAAACGTAAAAAGGACGGGATATTAATTTGTCGCGCAGGATAGAATTGGGGAAATAAATCTTATGGAATAAAGAAAGGCGAGAAATACTACGACGCAAGGCTAAAGGCGGCAATGATAGAGTAGCTTTCATGGCAGTCACGCTAGCCGTGTTCTGGTAGTTAGAAAAGATGTAACGAGCTGATCTGTTTTTAATCACTTCCAATGCAGTGATGAGGGTGACTTGTACAGGATTCCAGACAGAGGCTGCATATTCCAACCTTGGACGAATTAATGTTTTATAAAGAGTCACCTTTAGTGCAACTGGAGCTAATGAAAAATTTCGTTTAACATAACCTAACATGCGGTTAGTGTTAGAGGAAACATACTGAATATGATTTTTCCATTAAAGGTCAGATGTTATCTGCACGCCGAGGTATTTATAAGACGACACCGGCTCCATATCAACCTGATCAAGAAAATAGTTAGGATTGTCAGAACATTGTCGAGATACGCGCATAAACTTACATTTGTTAGCGTTAAGGCTCATTGACCATAAATCACACAACTCGATGATAGTGTTAATGTCGGACTGTAGAACACTGGTGTCATGATTATCTATTATTTCACGATAAAGGACACAGTCGTCAGCAAACAAACACATAGACGAGGAGATGTTAACCGGGAGGTTGTTAATATAAATTAAAAATAGCAATGGCCCTAGAACAGATCCCTGAGGAACCCCGGAAGTAACGGATACAAGAGAGGAGTTAAGGTCGGTTCAAACAGACCCGGAATACGGAACCCGGGAGCCGGAACCCGTACTGACGTAATCACTTCCGGCTCCCGTATACGGGAGCTGAAGTCACGGTTTGATTTGAACGGCGCGCCCGGCGCGCGGCACGGGCCCCCGTATATACGGGAGCTGACGTCACGGCGGCTCTCCAGGCAACCAATCAGCGGCTGTCGTCAAGCCGGGTCGTCGCCAGGGGCCACAGTGGCCCGGGCAGCCCGGGCGCGCGGCAAGCGGGGCCGGCGCGGTACTCGCTTTGTTTCGTGATGGCGTCGTCTCGGCAGGATCCCGGCTACGAAGCTCGAATTGCCTCACTTATGAACCTTTGTGTACCGAGGTGCGTCACAAATGCAAGAACTATCAACTGGCGTCGGCTGACTACTTTCGCAGCTGCGTGTGAGCAGTACCTACGGAGCGTGAAGAAAAAGAAGAAGCGAAAGGCCGTCCGCGAGCTCCTGAAGCCTCGAAAAACGCTCGTATGCCACCATCGTGAGACAGATGTTCGAAGACCCCGACGGCCGGGAATTCTTCGAGTGCTTCTGAATGTCACGAGCCAGGTAGGGTGCGTAGCTTGTTATTTTGGATTATTTTCATGTTATATATCAAGTGGCGTTCCACATGGGCCCGCGCGTCGCTCGCAGGAATACTCACCTGGAGGGTGCGCTCCCGCAGTGAAAGCACGTTTATATAATTTTTAACGCGGCAGGATCACGAGAGCAGCTTTCGTAACAGTCACATGCTCGTGAAATTTTACTGCGTCTGTGCTATAAAAAAAATAGCAATGGCACGCACATGTGCAGCTCGTAGGACACACTCTTTCGGTCCACTAAATCTGGTCACGGTGTGTTGTGGGAAGCCCGTTGTGCTTCCTTGTTCTTTGTGCTAGCTAGAATGTGTGCTTACAAGCTGCTTATGAGTGAATTCTGCACGAAAGCTCGCGCTGCAGAACTCAGGGATCTTGGGTTCAATCCCCACCCCTGCCCGTTTCGATCTGGATGAGCATCGTACCAGCAGACGTTCGTGTTTCACTACTACGTGACGGGTGTTAAAGACCCTAGGTTAGCGGTCGTACAGTACTGCCTAAAAACTGGTCTACAGCGCGTACCAGTGTCGTTGACCTTTTTAAGTGTCGGATGTAGCTCGCACGCACAATGGTTGCAGCTAGGCACGTAGCCAGGATTTTGTTTCGGGGGGGAGGAGATTTTGTCGGTCGCAGAGTGCCCGAGGCTGGTAAAACATTGTGTATATATAAAAAAAATTAAGGAATGAGTTGCTTCATTATAATTGTAGTGAACAAGCATGCCCTAAAAGCTGGAAGCTTAGCACATTTGCTTATTAACAACATCCCACTGCCTTTCCGGTCTCTTTGCAGCCAGTAAGCCAACCACTGCCTGCCTCTACAAACGGCCACTCATATTTGCATTGAAGATGCCGTTTCATCGGGTTGCAACCACCTCCCGTGTCTTCGAAACCGTGTAAATAAATTATTAAAAGCAGTATCGAGTTCTTTCACTTTTCCCGGTCCTTGTGGTCGCTACGATACCTGTCGTAGATCCAGGGGTACCGCTGAACTAGCTGAACTAATCCAAAGGTTTTCTCGGGTACGTCAAACGCAGCGGCACTCTTCTTTGCAGCTTGAGCGAGCTGCTTTCCTCGCGTCGTAGACGGGCGGGAAGTTCATCGCCGGAGCTTTCCTTGCAAGCAAGCACGGAGCGACTGAGGCATTCGCACGCGGAACCACGTGAACGCCGGTGGCAAGAAGGGCGGAGGAGGGAAGCGCGCCGCGCTGATTGGCCGCGGAGAAAATACGGAAACCTACGTCACGACCCGGGCAGGAGAAAGTTGAAAAAATTTCAACTCTTCAATCCGGGAGCCGGAAGCCGTAATTACGTCACCACCCGTACGGAGGGAGCGCTGACGTCACTACGGGTTCCGGCGCCCGGGTCCGCAGTCCGGGTCTTTTTGAACCGGGCTTTACTATTATTGACAGTAACAAATTGCGAGCGATCAGACAGAAAAGATTGAATCCATGCAAGTATGTTAGAATCTAAGTTAAGCTTGGAAAGTTTCAAAAGCAGAAGTTTATGAGACAGTTTATCGAACGCTTTTGCAAATTCTAGGAAAATGCAGTCTGCCTGGGATCCTCGATCTAAAATGCAATGGAGGTCATGGGTGAAAGAGAGAAGCTGAGTCTCACATGAAAATGTCTTTCGAAATCCATGCTGGGAAGGGCTGAAAAAATTGTTAGACTCTAAAAAGTTGACAATGTGGGAGAAGATGACATGCTCAAGTAGTTTGCAAGGTATGCTGGTTATTGATGTTGGGCGGTAATTATGAGCAGAATGCTTGTTACCAGCTTTGGGTATAGGTATCACCTTCCCTATCTTCCAGTCAAGAGGAAGAACGGCATCTTTTATTGACTGTTCGAACAACATAGTTAATATTATGGATCAGTAAAATGTAGTATTCTTAAGGAATTTTGAATTGATACCATCCACTTCTCTTGAGGAGGACAATCTGAGATTTTCTATAAATGAAATTACTCCAACATAATCAAGAGGAATCGAATCCATCGGCAGGTAATCAGTGCTAACCAGCAGTGGGGTATCAAGGCGTCTATCACTTGAAAAATAATCAATGAAAACGCGATTAAATACATTTGCGCAGACTTCGCTAGGCATACTTTCACCACTTGAAGACATTAGTGTGATTAAAGACTAGGATTTTTTGTTCATATGTTCCAAAATTGTTTAGGGTTATTTATCAACATTGCTGGTAAGCTGCGTGTGAAGAAATCTAATTTGGCGTCTTCAATAGCTTTTTTATAAACTTCAGCAGCAGTGCGATAGCTCTACCAGCGACGTTTACATGTGCTAAATTTTGCAGCGCGAAATAAACGCTTTTTCTTATTGGAGGGGCGTTTTAGGGCCCTAGTAAACCAGGGTGACTGTGAGTTTTCAAAGGCTGTTCTGAGTGGAAGATGCTGATTGATAAGCATTTGTACTTTTGTCTTGTAAAGTTGCCAATTTCCTTCGACTGACCGGCTCGAGAAACCTGCTAAAAACACGTGAAAGAAAGCTTCGAGGTCATGATTAATT